AGGAAACTCATCACAGGGCACTTCTAAAGCCTATGGGCATGTTTGCTTGCCTTTGAAAGTTAAGAGATGACTTTGAAGGTCAAGAGTTGGCACCTCAGCAAAAGCCAGCTGCATCTGGGAAGGACTTCTCACTCTAACCCATGGGCCTGATGCCAGGGAAATGGAGGTGAAAAAAAAGCCACTAATCCCTGAACAGGAAAACCCACCAATCCCTGAGTTATCCCAAACTGAGGACCTGAAATCCCATCAATTCTCAGTCTGGAAATCTCTGCCCTGAGAAGCTCCACACCCTCAGAAATCCTATATAAGCCCCGCCCTTTGTCCAGTTCCCTGCTGCCTACACCTGAGAGCAAAGGTCATGATCTCTGGTTTCGTCCCTCCACACCCTGAATCCTCCAATAAATCTGTTTCATGAGATTTGCTGCCTGGTGTGACTTTCTTTTTCTCTAATCAGAGGAAGCCAAAAGAAAAGCAGCAATGAAGAGAAGGGAAGAGACAGAGCAAGGCTTAGGCTCCTGAGCTCCTCAGCTCAGCTGGGGAGACCCTCCCCTGGGAGCTACAATGCCTCTGCTGAGGAGGCTTCCTCTCAGAGCTGTGTGGATCCTGTGCCCCTGTGTCTCAGGATGCCCTTCCACTGGGACACTGTCCCACCTCAGAGCTGTGTGGTTCTTGGACTTTCAAGTCCCAAGACACACTTCCATCTGAGCAGAAATGCTTACATCTACAGCACCTCCCCCAGCCCCCAGCCAGAGCAGCTCTGTAATCTCACAAACATTGGGAAAGGCTCTGGGAAAGAAAAAATAGACATAATATATTTACGTTGTCATGTGTATCTCACTTCTCCCTGTGAGGAAATGAGACCACTGCCTCACACCAATTGTTCAGCCAGTGTAATTTCTCCACAGGAATTTAGTAAGCCTTACTCCATGCTGGCTGCTTTAAGCAGGTCTGTTTATGTACACTCCAGGCCTGGGACCATTTAACCCCCTAACTACCTTCTCATACCTAAAGTCAATGCCTCAGGACCAGATGATAGGGCTGAGTGGAAGGAACTCCCTCAAGCAGGGCTAACAGCTCCACTATTTGTTAAGAAGCTGTAGCTGGTGCATTAAAACCCCCTTCTAACTCAGGCCTCTGTATATTTCATTACTTCGATGGCCTGTTAATATGACAAGCTAAAAGACAAGATCTAAACCTAACCTCAGAGAATCTTAAACAACAAGCCATAAAAGCCCCAATAGAAAGAGGCTTTCTATTATCCAAATTAAGATTCAAATTCTTTAAGCTGGAGAGATGGCTCAGTAGTTAAGGGCACTGACTGCTCCTCCAGAGGTCCTGAGTTCAATTCCCAGCAACCACATGGTGCCTCACAACCATCTTTGTAATGGGATCTGATGCCCTCTTCTAGTGTGTCTGAAGACAGTGACAGTGTATGCTTATAAATAAAATAAATCTTAAAAAAAAACCCATATGTCATGAGATCCAATACTCTATTCTAGTGTCTCTCAAAAGAGCTACCATGTACTCATATACATAAAATAGAATAAATCTATAAAAAAAAAATGAAAGATTCAACTTATTTGATACCTCATACTCCTAGGGAGAGAAATCAATGTACCCTTAGTCTGACCAGCTACACCTGTCAGTGACTTCCCCGATGCATTAACCATAATACCCTTCAAGGATTCATAGGCAATATTAATTAGTTTAGATCTGGCTCACCATACCAACCAGGCAATCTATTTGATCTATCAGGTAAATCTATTTGATTTACTTAAGGGTGTCAAGGACCTCCTTCTCTCCTCTCTCCCTGATGCCAGCAGGCAGAGGGACCTTTTGTTCTATTAAACACCATGTTAGAAACACCTGATACGTCAGGCAGTGGTGGCGCACGCCTTTGATCCCAGAACTTGGGAGGCAGAGGCAGGTGGAGTTCTGAGTCTGAGGCCAGCCTGGTCTACAGAGTGAGTTCCAGGACAGCCAGGACTACACAGAGAAACCCTGTCTCGAAAGAAAAAAAAGAAAAAGAAAAAGAAAACAAAAAAGAAAGAAAGAAAGAAAGAAAGAAAGAAAGAAAGAAAGAAAGAAAGAAAGAAACGCACACCTGGCATGTTATGATCCACAACACACAATCCAGGTCTTTACATTCAGTTCTTCCCCCCACAGTGGTTGGAGCCTTACACCAACTTCAGAGGATCCTAGAATGGCTCCATGCTCCTACAGGGGTAGCGCCTCCACTACTAACCGTGGTTGAAACTTTATCCACTATTAGGAAAGGACGAGAGCGTACCTAAAAAATTATAGGTAAGGAGCCTGATGTAACTGTTTTCCCTTCCTTATCTCAGACATCCAATGGCTCCTGAGAAACCACACCTCTTTTGGTAATAGACTCATTGGCTTCTGATGACAGACAGACAACCATTTCCCCAAAGATAAATTGCTGCAGCCCCACCAGTCTTTAGGTGGCTTCCTTCTCCACTGTCCTCTTGGTCTGCTATCCCAAGGCCCACAGCTTTTACAGATGGAGAGCCGCAGGGTGCCATCTACACAGTATACCAAAGAGACAGCAGCTCTGAGTCACATTTTTCCCCTCTCACAGATAAATCTTCCTGATTTAAAGAACTGTATTCCATCTTCCTGGTTTTAACATACCTAAAAGAACTAGCTAGTCTATATTCAGACAGCACTTATATGGTCAGCTTACTCCCATGGCTAACCTGCTCATATGTCAGACTTGGTGGTGACCCTTTTTTCCAACTATTAAGGAAGATTTCAAAAATACTTTAAACTAGAACATATCAACTTTTAGTCAACCATGTGTAGTCACACTCATCCCTTCCAGATCCCTCTCTGATGGCAACACATCAGCCGGTAAAATTGTCACAGCTGGGGACTTTACTCTGTCACCCCTCACTGCTAGAGAACTCCCATCAGATAACCCATATTAACCTGAAAGGGCTACAGTTCAAATTCTCCAATGCCCCCATAAAATACCTCAAACACATCTTCAGAACTTGCTCCTCCTTAATTCGCACCACTGCTATACAACAATTGGGCACCAACCCCAGAGGCTCTCAGGTTAATGCCATCTTGCAAGAATGATGTCACCCACATTCCATCACTCCGTACACAAAAATTTGTATTTGTTACTGTTGATACCAATTCCCATTTAAAAACCTTACTAATCGCATATTCTCCAATTTTGCTATTATGGGGGTCCCTCTCCATATCAAAGCTGATACTGGACCTGCATTCATTCAACAGCCATCAATTCTACAGTTTCTGCAAGTCTTGGAAAATTGTCCACCATACTAGTCTCCCTCAGAACCCTCAGGGCTAAACTGTCATTGAAAGAACAAATCAAATACTTTAAAAAAATAATTAATTAAACACAAGGCTTCCTACCACCAACTACCGAATTAAACCTGGCATTATTCACACTGAATGTGTTCAACATCTATGCCACCTACGACAAACCTCCCATTGTCTGTCACTGGAGTCAACCCATCCTGGTCAGACGGAAGGACCCATTTGACAGGTGTTGGAGGGGGACAGATTCCCTATTACCAGTAGGAAGGGGATTTGTTTCTATCTTTCCAGAGGACCAACCTCTCCCTGTCTGGGTACCAGCCTGCCATGTCTGATGAAACCCCTCCAGTCAGAAAGAGGTCATGCCTGGGGATCACAGAGAAAACAAAGAGGAGACCATGCAGGCACCTGAGTGCACACAACCAGATCACATGGAGGACACTCATGTCCTCATTGACACAGTTTGAGGCAGCTGTTTCCCACCCCCAAACCCGGAAAGGCTCCTTCTCTGTCATTCTCATGGCTGTTTTCACCCTCCTTAACACACACCATGCTGGGGCTAGCCCCTCTCCTCCTAACACTATGCTTCCCTTGTTTTGTGTCATAGAAACATATTATGAGGAGAACCAGATAATCAGGACTGGAGACTGCTCACTAGCAGGATGTCAGAAACCCATTATGAGTCCTATACACCAAATGCCATGTCCAGTGCTGATTCTTTTGCTTGTTTTCCTTGACAATCAGACCTTCATGCCTTAAGCACGTTAACACCTATGGAGGATTGGCCTATAGGTCCTATAAGTAAAAAATGAGGGTGCACAGGACATCCCACAGTACAGATATACACCACACTACCATTCATAATGATAACCACGTTTAGATAAACACTGAAGAACCTTGGAATGAAACATGAGAGAATGGGGTGCATAAAATTTATGTTCGCTTTGATACTAAACCCTCTTCCCAGTGGGTTTAGTACAGAGACAATGACCCAGTCCACATGGACAATCTCAGGACTGAGAATGAAGATCCTTGTAAATAAAACACACCCATCTGGAGCTACAGACACTTCATCTGGGAAGAAACAGGAGGATTCTGAGTCTAAGCCTGAGGCTGAGAAGACAGATCCTGAGGGAAGAAGCAATGTCTCCTCTTTACAGTCAGGCTTGTCAGTGTGAGCCGCCCACTGCAGGTGAACACAGAGCCTGGACTCTGTGGGGTCCTTGTGGGGCTTGAAGGCCAGTGCACCTCTGTTTAAAGAGAAGCATCTCTCCACTGCATCCCCAACTGCTTGTGTCACCACTGTATTCCCGGAAGTGACTTTTCTTCTAGAAGAGTCCAGGGTCTGACTTCTGAAGAGAAGGAAGAGGAAGGGTGGAGGAGAGGACACAGAGAGTCTGGCCTGCGGGTCTCTCCTGGTGTCCAGACGGCTTCTGGGTCAGAACTCGGAGACACCATGACAAACAGCGCTCTGTCCACAGCACAGGGTTCAGACAAAGTCTTAGTCTCCAGGCGGTGAGGTCAGGGGTGGGGAAGCCCAGGGCTGGGGATTCCCCATCTCCCCAGTTTCACTTCTGCTCCTAACCTGGGTCAGGTCCTTCTGCCCGGACACTGATGACGCGCAGGCAGGACTCACTCCCATTGGGTGACGCGATCCCGGGGACCCAATCAGCGTCGCCGCGGGCTCTGGTTATAAAGTCCACGCAGCCCGCGGGACTCAGACTTCCCGGATCCGAGATGGGGGCGATGGCGCCGCGCACGCTGCTCCTGCTGCTGGCGGCCGCCCTGGCTTCGACCCAAAACCTCACGGGTGAGTGCGGGGTCGGGAGGGAAACGGGCTCTGCGGGGAGGGGCGGGGGCGGCACCGGGGAAGCCGCGTTCCCGCGTCGCCCACCGGACCCTCCGCCCCTTCTCCACCCGCGTCCCGAGCCCCGCGCCCTGCTCCCCTCCCGGCCCGCGCACCCGCCCGGGGTCCCGGGAGGAGGTCGGGGTCTCACCGCGCGCCACCCCCAGGCTCACACACGATGCGGTATTTCCACACCGCCGTGTCCCGGCCCGGCCTCGGGGAGCCCCAGTACATGGAAGTCGGCTACGTGGACGACACGCAGTTCGTGCGCTTCGACAGCGACGCGGAGAATCCGAGGATGGAGCCGCGCGCGCCGTGGATTGAGCAGGAGGGGCCGGAGTATTGGGAGCGGGAGACACAGAGAGCCAAGGGCAACGAGCAGATTTACCGAGTGAACCTGAGGAACATTCTCGGCTACTACAACCAGAGCGAGGGCGGTGAGTGACCCCGGGTCGGAGGTCACGACCCCTCCACGTCCCCACACAGGGGCTGGAAACGTCCCGGGTCTCAAGTCCGAGGTTCGGGAGCAGAACCGACCCGGGACCGGTTTCCCTTTCAGTTTGGAGAAGTCCGCGGGTGGGCGGGGCCGGGGCGGATGGGCGGGGCCGGGGCGGATGGGCGGGGCTGACCGCGGGGTCCCGCAGGCTCTCACACCATCCAGTGGATGTACGGCTGTGACGTGGACCCGGACCTTAGGTTCCTCCGTGGGTACATGCAGTTCGCCTACGACGGCCGCGATTACATCGCCCTGAACGAAGACCTGAAAACGTGGACGGCGGCGGACATGGCTGCGCAGATCACCCGACGCAAGTGGGAGCAGGCTGGTTATGCAGAGAGACAGAGGGCCTACCTGGAGGGCACGTGCGTGGAGTGGCTCCGCAGACACCTGGAGCTCGGGAAGGAGACGCTGCTGTGCACAGGTGCAGGGGCCGCGGGCAGTTCCTCCCTCTGCCCTCGGGCTGGGGCTCAGTCCTGGGGAAGAAGAAACCCTCAGCTGGGGTGATGCCCCTGTCTCAGAGGGGAGAGAGTGTCCCTGGGTCTCCTGATCCTCATCACAGTGACTGCACTGACTCTCCCAGGGCCCAGCCTTCTCCCTGGACAGTTCCCAGTCTGTCTTAGGAGGGAAGGAGAGAATTTTCCCCACTTAACAATGGTGGCTCCCTTCAGTCAGATTGTAGCCTCTGTCAGCCATGGCCTCTCCCAGGCCCGGTTCTCTGCCCACACCCACTGTCTGTGGACACTGACTCCTGTCATGCTGAGTGTGTCAGCCCTTACACCTCAGGACCGGAAGTCTCCTTTACCTGATGGGAGACATGGACTCCCCTACACTAGGCTGGTTCCCTAGTTTCTAGAACTTTCCAAAGAATACATTCTCACAGATCCCTCCCTGTCTGTGGGGTTTGCATCCCTTCAACAACCCAATTCCATCTATTCCTACAGTGGTGAAGGTCACATGAGCCCTTATGGGGTACCCTGCAGAGATACAAACTGTGGAATTTTTTTCTCTCTTCTTTTCTTATCTTTCTGTTTCTTGAAGGCATTATTTTTCTTCTGGTCAGTTTTTGTCTGCACTGGAGTGATCATGTTTCTCCATGCCCTTGTATTATCATTTGTATCAGTCTCCACAGGTGCCAGGGGAGACTGCTAACCTGGATAATTAGACAAGTTAAATCATGGTTCTCATTAAAGGAGAGATTCTTGTGAGCTTAGACTGTTTCCTGTCAGAACTAAACATCCAGAAGCCTCCTGCTCTTCCTCTGTCCCCACAAGCTACAGTGCTCCCCTTAGTGAAAAGAAATGGGACTTTCTGAGAGACAGGGTCTTCTGCAATCCAGGGCTGGAGTGAGAGGGAAGATCCACACACCCTGTGAGCCCGCTGTGTTCCAGTGAGTGCTGCACTGGGGTCCACACCACACTCCAGGGATCCTGTGTAACATACCTGTACCTTGTGGTCCAGAGGCAGGGGCTGGGAGTCATTTTCTATGGCTGAGTGTCAGACGTTCACCACATTTCTGCTACACACTTTGTGATGGGTGTTCACTTGGCCTGACAGTTATAATGGTAAGCCAGACGACAACAGTGGTTGACTCTCAGAGGTGGAACCCTTCCAGTAGCATATGGCCCTAATTTCTAATATAGATATGAACTCAAACACATGATAAATTACTTATTTTCCATTTTATCTGTCCTTCTTTGACTACCTGTCTCATGCTGTAGAACATCACATAAGGAAGGCCATGTTGACCCACTGGCTCATGTGGATTCCCTCTTAGCTTCTGAGCCCCCAGGGGAAATGTGAAGTTCTGTGCTGAGGGGACCAGCGCCACCTACTGGTCACTAGTGCAATGACAGTTGGAGTGACAGACACATAGTTCAGTGTCATCATTGATTTAACTGTATCTTGTGTAGATTTCAGTTTGTCTTGTTAATTGTGGGATTTCTTAAATCTTCCACACAGATCCCCCAAAGGCCCATGTGACCCATCACCCCAGATCTGAAGGTGATGTCACCCTGAGGTGCTGGGCCCTGGGCTTCTACCCTGCTGACATCACCCTGACCTGGCAGTTGAATGGGGAGGAGCTGACCCAGGACATGGAGCTTGTGCAGACCAGGCCTTCAGGGGATGGAACCTTCCAGAAGTGGGCATCTGTGGTGGTGCCTCTTGGGAAGGAGCAGGATTACACTTGCCATGTGCAACATGAGGGGCTGTCTCAGCCACTCACCCTGAGATGGGGTAAGGAGGGTGTGGGTGCAGAGCTGGGGTCAGGGAAAGCTGGAACCTTCTGCAGACCCTGAGCTAGTCAGGGCTGAGAGCTGGGGTCATGACCCTCACCTTCATTTCCTGTTCCTGTCCTTCCCAGAGCCTCCTTCATCCACTGACTCTAACATGGTGATCATTGCTGTTCTGGTTGTCCTTGGAGCTGTGGCCATCATTGGAGCTGTGGTGGCTTTTGTGATGAAGAGGAGGAGAAACACAGGTAGGAAAGGGCAGGGTCTGAGTTTTCTCTCAGCCTCCTTTAGAAGTGTGCTCTGCTCATTAATGGGAAACACATCCACACCCTGCATTGCTACTGTCTCCAACTGGGTCTGCTGTCAGTTCTGGAAACTTCCTTGTGTCAAGATCTTCCTTGAACTCTCACAACTTTTCTTCTCACAGGTGGAAAAGGAGGAGACTATGCTCCAGCTCCAGGTTAGTGTGTGGGACGGGATTGTCCTGAGGCCATTGGAGTGAAGCTGGGGATGATGGGAGCTCTGGGAATCCATAATAGCTCCTTCAGATAAACCTTCAGGAGGCCTCATTTGTACCTTGATATGAATACATACACATACATATACATTTGTTTTGTTTTACTCTAGGCAGGGACAGCTCCCAGAGCTCCGATATGTCTCTCCCAGATTGTCAAGGTGACACTCTGGGGCCTGACTGGGGAGGGGCAATGTGGACATGATTGGGTTTCAGGGACTCCCAGAATCCCCTGTGAGTGGTGGGTTGTGGGAATGTTGACTTCACAGTGATGGTTCATGACTCTCATTCTCTAGCATGAAGACAGCAGCCTGGAGTGGACTGAGTGACAGACAGTGTGTTCAGGTCTCTCCTCTGACATCCAGAGCCCTCAGTTTTCTTTAGACAACAGTGTCTCATGTTCCTTGTGATCTTCTGGGCTCAATGTGAAGAACTGTGGAGCCCAGTCTGCCCTGCTCACCAGGACCCTGTCCCTGGCACTGCCTGTGTTCCCTTCCACAGCCAACCTTCCTTGTCCAGCCAAACACTGGGGGACATCTGCTTCCTGTCAGCTCCATGCTGCCCTGAGCTGCAGCTCCTCACTTCTACACTGAGAATAAGAATCTGAGTGTGAACTTGATTGTTAACATCTTGACCTGAGGATAGATTTCTTGTTAAGGTAATGGATTGATAATTCTTAGATTTTTTTTGAAGAAATAAATGGCAGATACAGAACCTTCCAGAATCTGTGTCACTATGCTGTGTGTATCTGTTGGGATAGAATGAGGCTGTGGGAGCTGAGTGTGAACAGGACTGTGCCCAGGTGGGCTCAGTGAGTTATTATCTTTGGTGGGGTCACTCCTGGGCTGTGTCACCTCCAGGCTCTGCTCTCTCCATCACTATGAAGCACATGCTGAGAGTCTGTGATCACAAGGTCACAGGGAAGGCCTGAGCCTTGTCCTAACCCCAGGATTATGAGCCCTCAGGGCTAAAGATCAGAAATTCAAGTGGATAATCCCTCAATGTGCCAAGTGCCCAAGATAGGTCGCACTATATTTCCTCCCACCCATTTGTTTAACTACTAAGGATGCAGTCTTGAAGCTGCCCTCAGCACTCAATGTAGCCACGCTACTGTGGGGGTTTTTGGTTCTCCTTTCCAGTGTTTTTTCCAGGGTTCTCAGGTGTCTGGTGTGATCTGTTCATTCATCTCTCAGGAGCACACTGACACCTGAGACACCTGCCACAGCTGAGATGATTGGCTTAGATTTTTCAAAACCTACTTTTAATAAGGGTTCTTAAAAGCTTAACCTCCTTTCCAGGGCACCACCCAGAAGAAGTACTGGGAAAGAAAGGTTATTAGGATGAGGGGAAGTGGACCTGTTTAGAAATGGTTCTTTGAAGCAAATGCAGTCTGCATTGTCAGGATATCAGCTGTTCAGTTTACAAGAAACTGCAGTGGCAGTTCAATTCATAGCAAGACAGGAGGCTCAGCTGTTTGCTGTTTACAAGTAGTTCCTTGGGGCGATTTCAATCTCCAATTGACAGGACACCATCAGTCCACTTCAGTAGTGTCAGGATAGCAAACAGGAATCATCAGCTGTGGCAAAACCCAGCAGAAACTTCCAGACCTCTGCCAAATAGACAGCAGGAGATACCAGGAGCAGCAGGGACACCAGGAGAAGTTCTCTGCCATGACTCTCTCAGCAAAGTGAAGATCAGAAAAGATGAAGACATGAAATCAACGTAGCATTGCAAAGCCAGCTGTGCAAGCCCGCCATCACTGTCCACTGTGTCCTGTTATACTCCCTCCAAACATCTCCCGTCCTCACATGAGTCTTGCTTCAGCAAAATACCACACGGGTCTGTCTTAGCAAACCCCCACATGAGTCTGTATCAGCTGACATATCCAGAAACTTCCACTTCACTCTGCCAATTAGCCCAAGTCTGCAGAAGCAGCAAGAAGACACCAAAACATCACCAGAGGTTTTGTTTTTGTTTTTGTTTTTGTTTTTGTTTTGTTTTGTTTTGTTTGGTGGATTTCTCTCTATGGAGTCACGAGATATAATTACCAATAAACAATGGTGAGACTTATCAATACCATGCAGCCTTGTCTACTGTCTGTTGGGTTTTATTTATATTCCTTCTAAACATCACGTGTCCTTTCACCTGTGTCTATGTTAGCAAAACATCCTTTCTCCTGTGTCTGCTTCAGCAAAGCATCATTTCACACAACTGACTTTCCTAAGAAACCAGAATTTTCCACTTCCAGAACAGGGATGCTTCTCTCCCTGTACCTTGAGTACCGCCCCCTGAACACTTTATACTCCTGGACTATTTTATCTTTTAGCAGCTTGTGCTCTGGAGTTAACTCCCTGAAGTCTCTTAATCTCCATTGCCAGCCCAGTGAACCTGTTCCTTGCAGCTCCAACTTGGGCATGCAGGATGTGGTATTCAGCATAGTCTGTCTTAAAGTCCTGTTCATAAGCCTGTTGTTGCTCTGCATTGTGGATGGCTCTGTATTGCAGGAGAACAAAGTTCTGCTCATAGGCCTGTAACCATTTAAATTAACTAATATTTATAGCACTGAAGACACAGAAGGCATAAACTGAGGTAAAGACCTGCCAGTTCAGCAAGAAAACTTTATTTTCTTAACTATATAGGAGATATCCATTACCAGCCTAATTCTACAACTTAACTGCCAGCTCTTCAGAAATCTCTATGTCTCATTCTTGTGAGCTAGTCTGCATTTCTCTTGAGTTCCTCCTAACCCTAGAGGGCTCCTTAGCTCTCTTTCCTAGATTTCTGTTTCATCTGTGTCCTGTCAGATGCTTCTCTTTTGTTCCTGCAAGCCCAAAGAGAAAATCCCCATCACTTACCTGGAGCTCCTTCCATAGAGGTTTATCCAAGATGAGTGACAGAGAGAGAAGGAGAACAAGAGAGGGAGAGAGAGAGAGAGAGAGAGAGAGAGAGAGAACACTCTAAGATCCAGTTGCTTATAAAAGAAGTCTAGCTCCTCCCATACACCCTTGGCAGGCTGAGCCATGTCACTGTCATGGGATTTTTCTGTTCAGGGATTGATAACTTTTTTTTTTTTTTTCGAGACAGGGTTTCTCTGTATAGCCCTGGCTGTCCTGGAACTCACTCTGTAGTCCAGGCTGGCCTTGAACTCAGAAATCCGCCTGTCTCTGCCTCCCAAATGCTGGGATTAAAGGCGTGCGCCACCACCGCCCGCCCGCTTTTTTTTTTTTTACCACCTTTTCCCTGGCATTGGGCCCATGGGTTAGTGTGGGAGGACCTTCCCAGGTAAAGCTGGCTTTTGCTGAGGTGCCATTTCTGTGGGGCTGCTGGGGACAGGCAGGGACTGGAGAGGTGTTGGCACTGTGGACTGCTCCTGTGATGTTTCACCAAGGCTGCAGACTGAAGCAGGAAAGATGTCACCACCATGGACAGCTCCTGTGACACCTGCAGGCTGAGGAGATGTAGTGGAGGCGCCATTTTAACAGAAGCACCCATTTTGGACAGCTCCTGTGGGACATTTTACTGACGTGGCCTGTACACTGGAACAGGATGTAAGATCCTGCCTTCATTTGGACGGACTTAGTGTTAGGGACTACAAGAAGCCAGGATAAACCCTTTCTCCCTAAGCTGTGTCTTGTCAGATATTAATTCACAGTGATAAAAAATGGAACTGTATTGGGTTACATTTCTGTTGCTGTGATAAAACATCATGTCCACGGAAACTTACAGAGCGTTTATCTGGGGATTAGGGTCCCAAAGAGTTAAGAGTCCATCATTGTCATGACAGCAAACACCAGGCATGGCAGCAGGAACAGCTGAGAGCTCACACTTCCAACCATGCCCCCCAGTGACATACTTCCTCCAGCAAGGCCACACCTCCTAAGCTTCCCCAAACAGCACCAACTGGGAACTAAGTATTCAAATGACCAAGAATATGAGGGTCATCTTATTCAGAGGACCACAGTAACTAACATAGACAGTGACTCCCAAGCTCTTGGTGCAAATGTGTGATTTTCCAGGTATAGTGTCAGGGAAATGTTAGTGATCCCCCAAAACCAGAAAGGAACAGATCTGATGTAATCACAGTAGGGCCATTTTATTTCAGCTAGCTTAGGCCAGTGCTATCAGGACAAGGCTTTATAGTAAGGAGCAAGTGGGTGGTGAGTGTGCAAGCATCTAATTGGGAAGTTACTGTGACCTTTAACATTATTGGCTGGTGCTGGAGTCATATTATAAAGTTAATTTCTGCTTCCCTCTGCACTAGTGACCATTAGTCAGGGGATGGGCTTGTAACCTTGGGGTGCAGGTTTGTTGGGGGAATAACCTGGAGACACAGGTCTTGTTGGGGTAATAACCAGGAAATGCTGTTCTTGTTGGGGGTTAGCCTAAAGACTGGAGCTAGGCTCGGGTTTTGTTAGAAGGTAACTTGGAAACTAATGTTGGGTACCAGCCTGTTAGTTTGCCTGAGTTCAAGTTCTCTAAAATGGAGTCTGAATTTAAAAGATTTGGCCTCTCACAGGTGACAGCTGGCTGATACTGCCACAGGTGGGACCTGGGCAAGAAGGCTTGGTTCTCCAGAGTCACCTAACGCAATGCTGGTACCTATCTATCAGGAAACGCCAAGCTTGGCTCCCTGAATTTGATCCATAGAAGCCACATGGTGAATGGAGAGACCTGACTCCTGTAAGTTATCCTCTGAGCTTCACGTGGGCATCATGACATGCACATCCCTACACATAATTATTAAATCAGTGCAATAAAAATGAAAAAAGGAACCATGACAGTTTCATGTTGAAGAAAATGTAAACACGCATGTATAAGGACACATATGTCTAAGGACAGGTAAGTATAAGTTGTGTTCAGTTTGCCTCCAGACTTTCCAGTGGATGAATTTTCCTGTGTCCACAACCCACATTGCAATGAGAAGCTGCCAGGAGGATTGAAGGACAACCCAAGCAAGGATAATCACTGGAATATTAAACTACTTTACATGCTATGTATTTATACTATTGCTTTATGTGTATGGTGTGCAAATGAGGGCACTCCCCAGCTGTGGTGTGTGTGTTGGGGTAGAGGGAATCAGAAGACAACCTTGAGGGGGACAGTCCTTTTCTTCCATGTGCATTCTGGGTGGTCAGACTTGGTGGGATGCACCTCTACCTGAGTCACCTCACCATCCTGGCCTGGTGACACCGCCCTGTTTTTGGAGGTATTGAGAAATGGAACCTTTGGCATGTGGTATACAAGAACTCTAGTCACTCAGTCACATTCCCAATGTTTGAAAAGCAGTCAGGAGAAAACAGCCTTCTGCCGGGCGGTGGTGGCGCACACCTTTAATCCCAGCACTTGGGAGGCAGAGACAGGCAGATTTCTGAGTTCGCGGCCAGCCTGGTCTACAGAATGAGTTCCAGGACAGCCAGGCTACATACAGGAACCCTGTCTCGAAAAACCAAAAAAAAAAAAAAAAAAAAAAGAAAGAAAAAGAAAAGAAAAAAAGAAAAAAGAAAGAGAGAAAGAAAGAAAACGGCTTTCTGTTATTTCAAAGGTCCATACTAAATAAAGAATTGGGACACAGATGGAATTACAGACTGTATCTTAAAAACAGACATGGGTGGCATACAAGAAACACTTTAGCAATGTAGCCTGATGATTCAAGAACCTAATCTAGGAAAACCAGGCCTGAAGTGGAAATTTCTCGTATCTTTGGAGACTCAGTGATGTTGTGTGATGTTTTTCTGAAAACTGTCTTATGGGAGGATGTTTTTGCTGAAGCAGACATGTGGTGTTTTTCTGGAAGCTGCCTGGAAAAGGGGCATGTGATGTTTTGCTAGACCTTGAGAGATGTCCTCTTGAGAGAACACATGATGTTTGGAAAGGGTATAAATATAACCCAACAGACCACAGATGACGCTGTGTAGCATTGGTTCACTTTGCCATTCTTTGCTGGTCTTTGCAGGTCTTTGCTGGACTTTGCTGGGTTTTGCAGGTCTTTGCTGGACTTTGCTGGTCTTTGCGGATACCGGTCTTCACTGACAATGCTGTGGCATTGGTTAGCCTTGCCTTCTTTGCTGATCTTTGTCATGACTTTGTAGAGAGAAACGAACCAAAGAACTTGTGGTGGTTTTCCAGCAGCTTCTTCCTGCTTCTGCAGTCTCTGACCGATTGGTAGAGCCTCTGAAAGTTTCTTCTGGATTAAACTTCTACTGCTGACTTGTGTGAAGTCAACTGCTGATATCCTGACAACACAGTTTGGACTCACCCCAAGGAACTATTTCTAAACAGGTGCACATCCTCCTTTGCCCTGTTACCCTTTCCTTTCTACTACTTCTGGTGGGTGGTGAGCTAGAAGAGAGGTTAAAAATATTTAAGTAAGCTTATTAAAGTAATTTTTGGACAATATAAGCCTACACAGGGCATCTGGAATGTTCCATGTGTGGGTTATGTTACCAATGCTGCATTGGTGTTGGAGGACAACAGACACTTGGGTAGACTGAGCACTGTGGGGACAGATTGGGAAGCTCCTTCTCTTAGACTCTATGACCCTGAGGAACCCAGGGCTTCTCCTATTCAAACCTTCTCTGCAGGGTAGTTAGGTGGCTCAGGCCTGAGTGATGCCCTGTGGCTGCAGAAAAAAGAATCACAGAGAGCCAAGGCATGAAAATAACGATGGTGTCACTTCCGAATAAAATTATGGAGCTGGAGAGACTGTTCAGAGGTGAAGAATGCTTACTGCTGTTCCTGAAGACCTGGGTTCGGTTCCCAGCTCTCACCTACTTGTAACTCAGTCTCAGAGGGGATAGAGCGTCCTCTTCTGACTGCCTGCAGCACTCCATGCATGTGGTGGACAGACATACATGAAGGTAAAATACCAGTATACATAAAAATATTTTTTAAAAGAACAAAAATAAATAGAGAGAAATAAGATTTCTGTAAAGAAAGAAATCCCCCAACAGTATTGGGGTTCAGCACAACACGTAGGAACATCTCCAAAGCCTAGTGCAGGACTCTAGGGTCCCCTGAAGCAGATGTACACACTGGTCTGGTCTTAGAGATTCAGCAAGGGAAGGGAGAAATTGACACGACACCCCCTACAGTGGTCTCTGGTGCTACTGGTCTATGAAGCCTGCGTGTTCGTTCATTTATGCTGTTTGTGTTGTTGTCTTCTTGTAGTTCAGGTTGACGTTGAATTCTTTTTTTTTTTTAACCTTTATTATGTAGTGTTCTTTCTGCATATGTGCCTTTCCGCCAGAAGAGGGCGCCAGATATCACTACAGAAGGTTGTGAGCGACCACGTGATTTCTGAGAATTCAGCTCAGGACCTGTGGAAGAGCAGTTAATGCTCTCAACCTCTGAGTCATCTTTTCAGCCCCGATCTTGAATTTTTGATTATCCTGCCTCACCTCAGCATGCCAAGCGTGGGTCGTGATCACATGTAATGTGTGTGTTTGTGTGTGTCTATATCATCAAGTGTGGTGTTGAGGAACAATCTGGGGGAGGAGCCCGAGGTGAAATCTCTCTCAGAAGTTATATTTCAGACCGAAGATCATAAGGACCCGTGAAAACCGCAAAACAGAAGGTTTGGGGATGAAGGGAAAACCCCTGGCTGCTTTCGTATGAACAGGCCGTAGGCGATGACAACTCCCTGCCTTCCTGAGCATTCAAAGCTCACAGCTGCTTAGGTGATCAGCTCCCGTGGACTGTCTCCTACTCCTGTGTCCTGCTGCCCCCTGGCGGCCGTGAGCGGCATCGCAGCTTCCAAGAGTCTTGGGGATGGGCTATGTCAAATGTCCCTCCAGACTGCAGACTGCAGAGTCCAGGAACTAACTGATGGCCGGCTTCACGAGCCCCCGAAGCTGTCTGGACCACACTAAGGAACTGGGTATCCCCTGCACAGTCCTCCACATCAGAGCATTAGTTTTTTTTTCTTTCTAGTTGCTGTTGCCCGGGATTTATCACAGAGCTTCCTGCCTGTAGACCGTGTCTTCACTACACACCAGCTGAGTTTGATGTGATCCATCCAAAGAAAGGGTCCCGGGGTTCTTTGGGAATGCCCTTAATCCCAGCCCTCAGGAGGGTGGATCTCTGCATTCTTCCACCACATAGCAAGATCCAGAGCACGCAGGACTAAAGACCGTGATCTCCAGGACTGACACCTAGAAGGGGGTGGTGGAGTAGGTGGGAAAGTTTTAACAAGTGAGAAAGGAGCATGAATCCCCAGGGCCGGGTCTGGGTGAGCTTAGGCCCCCAGCCTAGTACAGCCAAGGCCCTGGGAAGTGAATGGGGTAAAGGAAACAGCATCAAATTGCTTTATTTTCCTTGACAGCATCTTACTAAAATTTCCCCTCACGTTGTAGATGGGACCTAGGGACATCTTCCTGCCACTGAGCTGTATCCCAGTGGATACTTTACTTTTAAGACGTGGTCCGGGCTGCCCTTGAACTTGTTCTCTAACTGAAACAAGCTTTTCATCCAAAGTTGGGAGCAACTTTGCTTATACATTAAAGGCCTAAGTCAGCCATAGACCTAAGTCAGCCATCCATGCCTGCTGACACAAAGTCTTGGTCTCTTTGGGAAACTACCCTAGAACAGATAGCTATAGATCTTGTAGACAGGTAGCCCTGGTGGGAAAGTACCAGCCTAGATAAGAACAAATAATCATAGATCTTATGGACAGGTAGCTCTGGTGGGAAAGGACTAACTTAGATAAGAACAAATGACCAATAGATCTTATGGACAGGTACATAGTGACCTGTTCTGCCCTGCTTCTTCTGTGAACTTTTCACCCAGCCAATATCCTGTTCTGGAAGACATCTGCACTTCCCTTGGGAACACTTGCGCTCCCCAGAAACAAAGAAGACCCTATGTCATGCCCCTCCCCACATCCTCCTTCTATGTGTATATAATCCCGAAGTGAAAAATTAAAATTACAGTTTGATCAGACTCTAGACAAGCAGTTTTTCTTTGTGTACCCCTGTCCTCCAGTTCTCTCTTCACGGTCCTCTGGAACCCAGTTCAACACACCGTGGGACTGGGACAATCCAGTGCCTCAGGCTCCCAATTAGCCATGATCACAGGTCTACAAACCACCCTAGGTTTTATTTAAACCCTGGTCAAGGTTTAAATAAACCTTGTTATCAGGCTATGATGACACATACTTATAGTCCCAACACTTGAGAGGCAGAGGCAGCATCTCTAAGCTTGAGACTATTCTGGTCTATAAAGTTCCAGGACAGCCAGAGCTACACAGAGAAACCTTGTCTCAAAAACCAAACAATTTGGTCAAGGATGTTCCTTCACTCTAGAACCTGTAGGTCATGACCTCTTAGGGGGTCAAAGACCTCTTTCTCAGGGGTTGCTTAAGACCATCAGAAAACACAGATATTTATATTACTACTCTTAACAGGAGAAAAATTATAGTACAAAGTAACAATTAAAATAACTTTACGGTTGGGCTCACCACCAGGAACTGTATTAAAGGGTCACAGTATTAGGAGGGTTGAGAACCACTGCTCTGGAGACTGCAAACTCATACAGAGGTGGGGCAGCGGGCAGCGGGCAGCAGGAAGGGTCTGGGTCATATGTAAATTACAAGATCAGTTTTGGAGCCAGGTCCACCCCTGCCTTGATGCATGGGTGTGGGTGTTACAGGCCCTCTACCCTCAAGAGAGGTGTGACAGCCACTTAGGGGCTGACACAGACAATCTCAGAGTCTGTGTGGATTTTTCCTAGGGTAGCCCTCAGGACAGTGCACAAAGCTATCATGTTCCCAGGCCTTGCGGCATGTGGCACCCTCCCAGAAAGCTACAAACAGTCCCCTCCTGAGCAGCTATGCCATCCCTGGGCAAGAAGCAGCAACAGACCTCAGGCTACTACAACACCCTCTTCATGATGCCCAACAGGAACTGACTGAGTCTACAATAAAGAAATGCTGGAGAATTCAAAGGCCCAGAGACAAAGGAGAGGACACGGTCCCAGCACAGTAAGTTCTTATGATTGCCACAGAGTGAGCCCCGCCAGGAGGTGATGTCACTGTTCCAGCGGAGCCCACAGATCAGCTACAGGGTGGGCTGTACCGCTCTGCCCTAAGAGCTGAGGTCAGTCAGAGACTGGGGCAGTGGGAGCTCACAGGCTGTGAATGAACAGCAGGGGAGCTGACTGGGAAATGAAGGTCACCTCAGAAGCCCAGGGAGTGGTCTTGAGCACACTCTGTGGAGGCAGAGGATTGGCAATGGAGGCTGAGGGAGGGAGTGAGGTGTGTGGAAGCCTTGGAGACAACAGGAACAGGAAAGGGATCCCAGGTGACAGTGTGTGACCTACACAGTCCATGGTAGCTCAGGGCCCGGTGTGTCTGAGTCAGAAGTTCGGCTTGTGTTTCTTCAGCTCCACCATGAGGTGATGGATATTGATGAGCTCGGCCCTGGCAGGGAGCGCGCGGACCTGGGGCTGGGACAGCACCCGGTGGAAGCGGTGGTACAGCTGGATCAGCTGGGTCAGCGCCCCCTGCACAGAGGGGACTCAGGGTCAGACTCATGGTGACTGGACCTGTCAGAACTTCACCAGAGTCTCAGGCACAGTGCTTGTTGGCCTTCAGGACATTCGTGTGATACAGAGCCCAGAGGAAAGAGCAAGGAAACAGACAACCATGGGACACAGGCAAAGGGCTGGGAGTGGCCGGTCACCTGGATGATGCTGGTTCCATTTCGAAAGTTGGTAAAACTGCACATTACGTCCTGACTCAGGGACTCCACTGACGCCTTCCAGGAACTACCAAAGCCACGGATCAGCTGAGTGACTCGGGCTGACGACAGAGGAAAGGGCGTGTCAGAGAGCAACCAGACGTGGTGACCTTCCACTGTCCACCAGGCACAGAGCTACCAGGGCTGGTGATTGTACACCCGGCACAGAGCAACCAGGGCTGGTGCCCAGCAAGGCCTGCCCAGGGCACAGCCATGCTTACCATCAAGCCTGACTTTCCTGGTGTTCTTCCAACCAAGTCTTCCCTGCTGTGCTGCCTCCTGACACTGTGAACCCCACACACTGTCCTAACTCCTCCTGTCCCTAACTAGTCATGACAACACCGCATACCTTCCTCCCCTCGGAGCCGCTCAGCCTGCCCACGCTCAATCAAGGCTTCAGCCTCCTTCACGAACGCCACCAGACCCCCAAAGGGGGGAGACAGCAACTCTTCAATGAATTCCTGGAGAGAAGTGCAAGCCCACACAGGGTCAGACTCTGGGGAACAAAGGACCCCTACTCTGGACAGTGATGACTAATGACACACCAGACGGCAGCCTCTGTGAGCCTTCCACCTTAGGTTGTGATGTCACAAGGTGCAGGGGATGTACCCAAGGATTTCCTTTTAGAACCAGGAATTAATAAGCTGGCTCTTCAGGAAGAGTGCTTGTCACTGGTCCCCAGAACACATGGTGGAAGAAGGAAGAAAGGAGCCCACTCCTAGAAGTTGTGATCTCTGACCTCCATGTACTTCAGATGTGCCTGTGCGAGCCTTCATGCACACACATACACACAGGTCTATAGTGCATGCACACACATGCATGCCTAGAGTGCACACACACGCACACTCACAGAGCTATTGTTTTACTTTGCTTCTAAGTGCTCAGTACCATGAAAAAGTTAAATGAAACAGACTAGCATTGAGGCAGTGGGTTGTAATCATGACTGCACCCGGAGGTCAGTCCAATACCACACCCAGGCCCTACCTGTGTCCGAGCATTGAGCAGCTGCTGGAAACTCTCCACCTCTTTGCTGTCGTCTGCAGCCCGCTCCTGAGGAAGACAAGAGGAGTCAGGAGCTTAGAAACCCCTTCCCTGTCGCCAGCACTTCCCCTTCATTCCACACTGCAGACACTGCCAGGATCCAGGGGTAAAGCGCTGAGCTCCTGTGGAGCTTACAAGCTGTAGGGACTCCCCGGGGGAGGAGCAGCCTTACCATCAGCACGCCCAGCATCATGTCATAGTTGTTGATGAGAAACACAAGCTGCTCCTTCCTGGAAGAGAACTCTGCAGCCACTCGGAGGACAAAATTCTCCACCTCCACCTGCAAAAGCCAAACAAAGCAGCAGGGTAAAAGCTAGGTGACAGGGACCCTCCCACTGCTGGCAAGTCTGTCCTACCCAGTCCCACCTGTAGCTGTCCCAGCAGCTGTAGTGTGCATTCATTGGGGATGGTCTGGTTGATGCTGACAAGCGCAGAGGAGAACTCAGCATAGCAGCCTGTGATCTCGGAGCAAGAAGAAAAGGCTCACACCTGCCTGCCTGGCAGACACAACCCCCAGCTGCCTCTGCAACTCCTGTCCCAAGTTAGGACAGGAGTTGTCTGCCTACGTGGACTCAGCAGTACCCAACCCACCACTTAGTGTGACCACAAGAGCCCGGTGTTACCCTCACCTGCCCTTACATAGTGGGGCCGAGTGTCCAGTCCCCCAAGGCACTGGGGGTCAGTGCTGCGGACACTCTGGACATTCATCTCCAGGATCAGCTCAAACCAAGACCACAGCAAGACAAGCACTTGCTCCCAGTACCTGCAGGCTTAATCAGAATCAGAGGTCAGCTGGCTAGGGGTGCTGGCTGCTCAGGGGAGCACAGCACCCTTCAGGTGAGTAGGTGTGCCCGACACCAATGCTGCCCCTGGGATGCACAAATGGGAATAAGGGTGAAGGACATCAGGTGAGGAAGAGCCCAGGGTCAGCACATTGTTGTTTGCATAAGATAAAAGGCTGACCGCCTCCAGGCACAAGGACCAGAGCTCAGTGACCTGTCCAGGGCAGGGACGTCCCTCTTTGCTGCAATGTTGCAGAACCGGAGAACAATGTGGATACAGAGAAAAACAGCAATGGCGTCGTAGCAGTCAGCCAGGTAGGACTCCAGGTGTTTCTGTGGCAGACAACTGAATGTTAGCTTGTTGTTCAGTGGCTGTAGGCAAACAGATGGACATTTCTTTGGGGACAAGGCACTGGCCAGAGAGACCAGCTCCTTCCTTGTCCACAGGCATCTGAGCGTTCTAACTTGCTCACTAACCACACTTCTGTAAGTTCCCCAGAGCAGAAGCCGGGGCTGACTTGGGATGGGAGCTCCAGGGCCAGGGCTTGGAGAACACTCATTCTCCACGAGTTGCTGTCTGTCTGTGGAAAGGCGCGGAAGTCGGAAGCTCACCAGTGTCATAGAGAGTGTGCGGCCCATGACAGCGTGGAACAGGTCATGTGCAGCTGGGCCAGAGACGACGAAAAATTCACAGATGAAAAGATATTCACGGCAAGAATTGTCGAGGAGGGCATAGTGCTGGCTGCGGAAGAGGGCTTCAAATGGATACTACCGAGACAGAGAGACACGGGTGGGTCTCACACTGACCCCGTGGATATGGAGACTCAACACAGCTTAGTAATGAGAGCTCACAAGACCAAACACCAAAGCTCCAGGCAGGGAGGAGCACCCTGAACAGACACTCAAGAGGGGGCACAGGTCACAGAGAAGCCCTGCCCACTGGCTGCTGCCGCCCCCACATCTACTTCAGCTGTTGCCTCCCGACAGCCACGCCCCCAGCCTCTGCACACCTCTAAGTCCATGGCTCCTAACCTCCCGAATCACAGCAGGCCAGGGAACCCCCAAACTAACACTTAGGGAACTGATCCCTGGCCATGGAGGGGTAGCCTCAACATACCCTCTGCTCTCCACGCTGGGCAGTATGGGGCACCAGGATGGGGGCCTCGAGCTCTGCTGGTGAGATGACAGCACCACGGGTGCCCAGGGTAAAGATGGTGTTCCTGCTTCGGAGGGATGGCTTCGAGAAGAATCGTGAACAGCATCAGAGTCAGGGAAAACAATGAGACCAACTGCACCAGGCCCAACAACCCCAAGGGCTGAGGATCCCAGGAAGCTAAATATGGCCCGGACCGCCATTTACAGACCAGAGCCTTGCTTCTCCTGACACCCGTAATGGCTGTCAAGATTTTACAAACCCTGTGAAATAAATGTGAAAAGCCGTCAGAATAGCGTGTGCTTCTTGGAGAGGAAGCTCTGGCTTTCTCATCCTCAAAGTCAAGAACCACAGAATGAGAAAAGAAATACAGCCCTGAGCTGGAGAGATGGCTCAGCAGTTAAGAGCACTGACTGCTCTTCCAGAGTTCCTGAGTTCAATTCCCAGCAACCACACAGTGGCTCACAACCATCTCTAATGGGATCTGATGCCCTCTTCTGGTTGTATCTGAAGACTTATACAGTGTATTTAGAAAAGAAGAGAAAAGGAAAGGAAAAGAAAAGAAACACAGCCCTGCAGGCTGGACGTCCCCACCATGAGCCCGGCATGTGAGGCTCCCCTCTCAGGATATCTTTCTGTGCTGTGTCTTCTACACCCATTAGATCGTCTTTCTCAGCAACTTCCTCGTACTAGAGAAAATTACAGAGGTGAACCATCACTCTCCACCACCAGCAGGTGGGGAGCTCCGCCCTCTTCCCCTACCTCCTCCTCCCCCACCCCTCCTCCTCCTCCTCCTCACCTCCAGCCTGGCTCACCTGCACTTTCATGAGCCGCCCCACATAGGAGCGGAAGTAGGATAGGTAGATCTTGCTCAGTGTCTCTACATACTCGTCCCTGATCTCCTTGGCTGTAGCACGCTCATTGCCCAGCAGGAACTGATAGAAAAACCTGGAAGGACCAGGGCAAGTCAGACACCCTGGATGCCCACGCTGGACTGTTGAGGGGCTCGCAGGCTACCCTGTGCCCATCCTGAGGTGTCAACCTGTACTTCAGCAGGGCTGTCTGGGGGATCTGATAGTTGGTCATCGGCTTTCTGAAGGAGTAAATCTTCTGGAGAATGAACTCACGGATCTTCGTCACTGCCTAGACGTGGGGAACAGACAGACAGACAGGCCGTGAGAGGGTGGCTTTTGCTGTATGGCAGGAACAGGGTGATGATAAAGGAAAGGAAAACAAGACTTCAGTTCTGTTCTCATTGTGGAAACACGGTCTCTCTGTGTAGCCCTTGCTGCCTGGGATTCACAGAGGTCTGCCTGCTTCTGCCTCCTGAGTGCTGGGGTATAATCATGCACCACCGGGCCCGGCCTTATTTTTCTGGGTTGTTTCATTTTGTAAGTATGGAAGGCTTTACAATTTGCCTATCATCCCTTACTTACAAAGGAGCCATGCTAATCTTCTCTGTATTGTTCTAACTTTAGTATCTAGGATACCAAAGCGAGCACTGCTTGTTTTTGAGGCAGGGTTTCATGTATCTGGGGCTGGCCCCAAACTCTGTTTCTTCTTCCACCTCCTGAGTGCTAGGATAACAGACTTGTGCCATCATGCAAACATACACAGCACTGGGGACAGAACCCGGGGTTTCGTGCATTCTAAGCAAGTGCTCTACCAACTGAGCCACATCTCCAGCCTCTTTAGATTTTCCGGGGATCTGGAGGGCCAGCGATGCACTACACAGCAGGAAGCAGTGTGAAGCCCTTGGGAAGCTGACTCTAAGCAGTCCACTCCCCACCTTGACCCGGAGCCGGTCGAGCACGCCTCTGACATCTGCACAGTCAGCGGTGCCTCTCGCCTCCTGCTCTCTGACCGCAGCTGCCTTGGCATCCAGCTCCTGTAGCTGCTCCAGGAACCTGGG